TGGGAACCAYGATTTCATTCCTCTCCTCGCTCCACATCACTGCTACCTGAACGTCAGACACACACACAGCCTCAGTCTCTCTCTGTCACATATTTATCTCGCTTACATTATTCAGATTAAAACTGCTCAATTTCCAACTCATGGCACTAACAGGGCAGGAAGTGTGGGAAGAAGTAATGTCTGAGAAGTTAACACATCAAAGTTATCCACAATATTAGTTATCCACTGTCACAGGAAAAGAGTTACATCCCAAGTCAGCTTCAAAGATGAATAAATTATGAACAAGAAGTACTTATTAAAAAGAAAACGCTAGGACTTCAACAAATATGCCAACATTCATAGACTGTTAAAGAAGATTTAAACTTGCACGCCAGTTTTAAGAGCTTAAGAGTCATTCTCCATTTGAATATGTGAAAAATCACAGTATATGAACACATACTAAGAGAAAAAACAAGCAACATCACAACCAGAGAGAACAAAAAAAGTACCATAATTTAAATGTCACCTCCTACAGGTTCTGATCTATTCTGTAATAATAAGCCAAATAGTTGCCAATACATGCAAACCAAGGCTTTAAAGTTTTATTTTCCCTGCTTCTCTTTATGAGGTAGGAGTTTTTCCTATGTGGAAAGTTCACTTCGTGACACGAAGAAACTGGATGAGCATCAAGCTCAAGATTTAATCATTCCTCATTTAGTAATTTTTATCTCAAAGGGTGAGGGGAAGAAAAATCCAAACACATGAATATTACTGATCAGTGCACAAATGCCACATGTACAGCCGCTGAACAAAGCATGCTTTCCATGCTGTTTGCAGTCACAGAAGAAATATTTYCTTACATAAGAAATAATGCATCTTTGAACCAGGTGTGAGTCTGGGGAAGCTCAGCAGGGCTTTGGCCTCGGGGAATTTATGAAARCATAAGGGCTGGGCAAGGCAAGGCCTGCAAAGGCCAGCTGTTGCTGTAAAGACAAAGCTAACATTTTTTATCTGATTTATCATTCTAGGTTTGAACAGTGCTGTGCACTGCATTTGGACACAGGGGTTTGCAACTGCCTCTTGTAACAGCTCCACGAGCATAGGGGAGCAGTAATCCCACMTAGAGGATGCCCCAAACTGTGAGGGGCAGGCAGGCAGGTGTGGCAGGTGAGTACACTTCACACAGAAAACATTTGTCAAACGAGATTTAAGCCCCACGCTTCCCCCACCTGCAGAAAATAATAATGAATGCCAGTATTGAGAACAGCATCATTTCATGACTGACATAGGATTAAACTGAAAAAAAAAACCTATCCCACAACTCTTTCAGGTTATTAGGTGCTAATACTGTCATGGAGTTGTTTCCCCTGTGCATTCAAAAGGAGAGAGCTCTGACATGGCCAATTCAAGCAGCTGGGCTGCCCAGGTGACAGGCTGGACTCTCAGCAGCACAAAACACTTCTCTGCTCAATACACATCTGTTCACTGCTGCTTTTAGGGGTTACATTTACAGAAAATAGCTCAACTGCTGGTTTTGTACCTCAGCTGCTTTTTTCTTTCCTGCTGCAAATTCAACTGCTTGTCGCTTCCACTGACACAAAACAWTTTCAAGTTGTTTATCACAGCTTGCCTTTACTTAAAAACCCACAGGAATATTATAAGCTATACAAACCATGAAACAACTGTTTTTTATGATCACCAGCACTTTAAATAAACCTCACTCCTCTGTTCTGCCATTTAATGAAATGCTGCTTACTCTCACTGTAACCCTTTGGAGTTTTGTTTGTGCCACCACAAACCCCCATCCTTGCTCATCTGCAAACCTCAGGAACYGAACCATGTAAATAAATGCCCATTTCCTTCATGGTAAAAGAAATTCCTCATCATTAATGCATCCTCTGATCTGGGAAACCATCAGCCACATATAAAGACCCACAAAGTAAGAGAATTTCATATACACTAACAAGTCAGAGTTCATTCCAGCTGTTTCTACTTGACTGATGACATAAATCCATTACTCCATTCATGTCAGCAATTAGTGCTGCACACCACTATTGGCCAAGTGTAATGAATGTGTATAGTTCAGTCTAAGAGAGCACAAATGCTGAAAYTAGAGAGGAAAACACCAGTGGAGTCCAGCAGGTACCTGAGAGACCTCAACTGATACAGCTAAAAGCAAAGGGCACTGCTAAAGAAAAGGACTGTATRCACTGAACTTGGCAGAAACACCTTGAAGTGACATTTGCAGAAATCCTGAAACACWAAAAAGGCTTGTGTTGAACATAATGATGGAGGATCAGCTACTTGAGGGGCTACAGCATGCCTTGAGAGGAAGGATGGGTCAGTTCTCATTGGGCTGGAAAAAGAAGGGAATTYAAGGGAACAAACTCTAGGCCAAAGRCCACTGCAGGRCTCAGGAGAGAGCAGAAACCTGAATCCTGCWTTCAGAATCTTGGAGTTATCACAGGGCAACAAGCTGCAGACCCACCTGCAGCTTAAACAAAACCTGGGTGGAATCTCTTGGGTTGGAGGTGAGGTATCTGTGATCAGTGTGTTCTCATGCTAGAGAATGAAACACCGCAAAAAAAGGGCAAATGGAAAAAAGAGGAAATACAGAGCACTCCTAAGATGCACTGAATTTTCCAAAAAAAATTAGAAAGGTGTACCTGAGAAGAGCCAAAATATCCAAAAGGAGCCTCAAAAACAAGATCAAAAGACCAGTGCATGCCAGTTTTAAAGGAGCCACTATATCAAGGAGGGTGGGTGCTGACCCTTGACTAGGAAGAACCTGGAGTACAAAACACAGTGTTCTTCTGAAAAAAACATACAATTTTTCTAAAGGCAAGACTTTTTCTTTGTTYTTCCTTTTGTTTTCTAGAAAGAACAAAATCAAAACCATGAAAGGATTTTGCTCCAGAYGGGTCAGSACTTGCAAACAGATGTTACCAACAGATGGGGAACAGGACAGTACCCAGCAGAACAGTCCGTCCTGAGCCAAGTTTCATAACCTAYTTCTAATACAAGCTTTGCTTTTGAGGGAAGGCTCTTAACTGGCCTCCAGCTCAGTGTCTTTGAGTAGTATTTCCTAGTCATTAAATCTGCCCTAGAATACGAAAGAATACAAAAAAATCTCACAGAAACTGAAGGGAAGCACAGASACTTTCAACTCCTGTCAGTGAAACTGGGTGCTGAACCAACTTAGATCTGCTCTCATAAAGCTGCAGTGCTTTACCTTGGCTCAACATTTTATTTTATTCTTTTAGAAACCATAAGCACAGTCTYTGTGCTGGCCACATCACCCTGGTCACTTAATGCCCAGTCCTAATATGCAACATCCAACACCAAATCATCCCTGGTGCAATTCCTAGACCACACAAGAGGAGCAGAAAGACCTTTCCTCTCTCCTCTTTTCTATTTCCTCTATTTTCTCTCCTCTTCTATCCCCTCCTTTTCTCTCCTCTCTTCCCCTCTCCAAGCTCTGCTCTCCTGGGACAATTTCTCCCTCATCTCTACCCTGCTTTTATCATTTCAGTGTTCTTCTGCCGCATCCCTAACACACAAAAGAGATGAAGAGCCTTCTTGAAGCATAAGATCTAGTTCCCATGGTTTTAGTTAAAAGTCTTCAAAAAATTGCAGAAATCAAACTTTTCTCAGCTCACAGAAGATTCTCAACAAGAGGTTTTTAGAAAAGAGCTGGGAAAGGATGAAATCACCAGGTATTGGGCCAAYAACCAAACCTGAATTCTACAGATAAGCTCCATTAAAAGGAAATTACAACTGTACAAAAGAAATTGYGCAAAACTGAAGCCTAATTAAAAGCACAAGAAAGCAGCATATTGAAATCACTGAAATCACTAGGAAATACTTCAGGGCCCTCTAGTGGTTTAATCTCTGATACAAAAAAAAAAAAATCCACAAAGAATTGTTTTTAAAATGAGGCTACTGAAGTGTAGTGCAATAATGTGCTCTATTTTTGTCACTCTCATGTAATTAAGGCATTCAGACTGGAAAGCTACCTAGTGAATTACCGGTAAGGTGAAAAAACTACAAACTAATACCTGTTCACAAAATCAGCTAATGGGTGGCATTTTTTGTCTTCATAAAAACAAGAAGCCACTCATTAACATTCTCAACTGTGCACAAAAAAAAAAAAAAAAACCAGCCAACCCACAAAGAAAAAAAAACAAAACTGCTCTCCCAAACCGGCACCAGAATGACCATTGCATTCAAAATTGAAATGTCAAGCTCTAACCTAGCTCTCTACAGCCCAAAACTGCATGGTTAAAAAAAAAACCAAAAAAAACCAAAAAGCCCCAGAACAATAAGAAACTGAAATTTTCTCAAAAAAATTACATCTGCAACATTTCAACCCCTCTGCTCAGAGGATTGCTTCATCTTTYGTCTATCACCCTAAAAATTACATCCTGTTCTGGCTTTGTTACACAGCAAAACTGACACAGAAAACAGGTAATAAATTTCCTCTTGAAATATACAGAGATTATCAGTCTGCAAGGAGATTATCAGTCACAGTACTTCCAAGTCTGTACCCAAGATCAAGATAGTGCAMTAGGACAAACAGGATGAAATACCAGTTGCAAGGGTTTTCTACACCTATCTACATAAACAGAAATYCAAGTTTCATGTCTTTTAGAGACTTAAAATTATAACAAACAGGAAAAAAAGCCACATGACACCTCTTTCAGATCTGAAAGGTAAGTGCATGAGGTTGGAAATTATTCCAGCAGATGCTGTGATCAGAAGTGTGGTGGCAGGATTATGATGATAATGTTAAAGTGCACAAAACTTTCACAGGCCAGAGACAGAAGCCATGAACTTCAGTCTAAATAAAGYTTAGGAGCAAGAGCCCTGAATTCTGTGGGATTTGGGAACAGCTACAGCAAACAACAGCCACTCTGAAATGGGCCATGACTGAACAGCACATCCATACCTGCTTCTGGATCCCAGCTCCACCACCGGCTGAGGGAAAGACAGTCCCACAACAAAACCCCAAGAGAACRTACCTCATGGAGGTTATACTGTGGATGAGCTTTTCAGATTGATCTGACAGCCTAGATGGAAGGATTATCTCAACTGGCTGCAGGCGTAGAACTCGACTCTCCAACTCGGAGCGGGAAGCGCAGTCCCGAAAACTGTCAAAAATTACTTCTCCTGTAGTTGGCTGGATGGCCTGCCAAACAGAAATATATATATATATCCATTGCACAGATATTTACATTTTCAGGGAGTGCTTCAGAGGCTCAAATTGTTAAGAAACTGCCAGAAAGAAAATCTACGGTGTACAGTGCAAAACAACACAGCACCCCACACACAGCAAAAGATGAAAAAACTCCATTGTGGTTTTTTTTCAAACCCATGATACAACAGTAACTTCAAACACTAACACAACTTTCTCTTGTTAAGTGGCAGCAATACCTCACAAATGTAAAAGTGCTCCTGTTGTTACCAGTCCATCACTGTTCAATTTTTAATACCAGACAAATCTGTTAACTGAAGTCTGTGAAATGCACATGTAATTCAAACTGGAATCTGAACACTTGCTTTTGTTGTTCTTTCCCTGCTGCAGCGTGACATTCAACAGAGGCACAGCCAGAAACTTTTTAATTAATTCATTACCAGCTGACTGGGCTTCAGTGATCATTGTGTTTTGCTGGTATACAGTTGCAAGTTTAATCTTCACTATAAAAGACAATACAAATCTAAGGAGTAAATGGTAAAAAGTCCTAAGTCTCATGCTCTAAAGAATAGTATTTTGTAGGGGAAAAAAGTGCTCACAAGCTTTGAAATACTCACCCTAAAAATGCACAAACATGGAAGTTTGTAAAGTATCTGAACTAAAGATTGGTTAAAATACAAATACTGTTTTTCAAGTGAAACAGCAGCAAATCCAGTTTGACAAATATTCAACTATCAACTCCATACCTTTTCTGCAGTTTTTAAATATAAAATCATCATATTCACACATAGATATCTTACCTTAAGTGCCTCTTTTTTAGAAAAAAAAAAAAAATTCCCACTCCCCTGCAAAATAAAATCTAAAAGACAGAACAGCCATGAATTTAACAAGGTAGCCACCCACTTCCACCAAAAAACCAAAACCCACAACAAAACAGCCCTACGCAAACCCTAAAACACTAACTTCCTGAGAAACCAGCTTACCATAATGCCTGTAACAATGTCACTTCTCTTCCTGTCTTTCGGGTTGTCCCCATTCTCACAGATACAGAGGAGGTAGTTATCAGGGACATCTGCTGTWACCTCTTCAACTTCTACAGAATCATCCAGCTTCAGCAAAGGGTTCACATGTAATAAATGTTAAAAAAAAAACAGTGCAGAGGCTTGGGTGCATTATTCACAGGGTTTCCTGGATCTAACTCTTCTACTTCCAGACATTAATCCAACAATCTTTTTAGCTCCTGGTATCTAGTAAGTTAGTRTGAAAAATTAAATTTTAAAAGTTAAGAGATAGAGGAAAACAAAAAATGGAAAAAAAAAAAAGAATTTAAATTTACTGGTTAAAAGCTGTTTGCATCTCATTCTTCCATTTTCCAGGCAAGACATGCAGGACACTGCAGATTGGGTAAATCCATTCCCTGACTTCAGAAAGCAATGAGTGCAAACACAACAAACCTACATCCATGAAGAGATTAAATTACATGTAAAGCCATCAAGATGTTTCACCACAACATAAAATTAAAGGAACTTTATTTCCTGCTGCCATTCTTATGCCAGCCACCAGCTGCTCATGTTCCATCCTGGTGCTAATACAAGAATCAAGGCCTCTCCAAAGGTTAGTTTGAAACCAAGTTCATTTGAAAAGGATATCTTCTCCAATAAGTGTAGACTTAGTGTAGAGGGCAGTCAGCTTGCGGCTGAAGAGAGAGCTTTTATTTTCTCCAGCAGCTTTCAGTGCTGCAGTTTCCATTTGTTTTATTACTCCAACCTATAGGCAGACAAAAAGGACATGAAGTTAGACCTCTGGTAATGAATTATTGTTTTTATAATTCTATATACCTGGTAATATTTTAAGAAGTGCAAACAACAAGTGTATAATTCAAGCTGGAATACATCATAAACAGAAAGGGCTCTCACATCAATCYTACTAATGAGATTATAAGGCACTGCTTTTTCTGACCTCTTTCCTACGCCTAACTGCCCTCTCAACTTCTGTCCCTGTGCTTCTTGTCCTATTTCGAAACAATTTAGCTGGAGATCAGTTCTTATTAGAGAATGGTTACTGCATCCAATTTAGAATCAGCAAGTCCTTTTCTTAGAAAAGGAAGCAGAAAAAGAGATTATCACCAGAAAGCCACAGAATTACAGGGATCCAGAACAGGAAGACACAGAAAAAAAAAAAAAAAAAGATTGGGCTAGGATAAGAAAAACAAGGATGTGAGGAAAAATAAAAGAGAGAGAGGAAATGTACGTTTCTCCTTATAAAATGCAAAAACTTCATATAGAAATACTGGGGTATAATTGTTCTGGAACTGTTCTTGAAAAAAAAGAAGATACTTCTCTGAATCTGCTGAAGGGTCACAACACCTCCAGCATAGACAAATTGAAACAAAGGGAAGTTGGCCATTCCTATTGCGGGGAGKGTGATAACAAAGCTGCCCATTTCTCAGCTGAAATGAGGTTCTGGTACAAGCAGTGCAAGTTCTCTCAGTGCTGATCTGTGCTCAGTTTTACAGAAGTCAGGGGGAACCTTGTGTCCCTTGGCTACGAGGCGGCGCACGTGGACGAAGAGCCGGTGGCTGGGAATGCTGGCAGTCATGAAGTTGTGATCCAGGTGACAGTAAATGTTCAGCTCTCTGGCTGCAATCTGCAAGGCACAGCAAGAGGCAGCCAATAGGTCACAGAGTAATTCAAGAAGGCAAGGAGCTTATCTCTATGACAACAGTGATGCACAGCTACAATTAAAAGCCCAGTGACAAAGGGAAAACATTCCAGGAGAAGGYCTGGAGGGGCCCCTCCACCTTCCTGTCCCAGCACTGCTGCCATAAACAGGGGATTCACTATCACAGGCTGCAGGTGTCAGGTTTTGAGGTCGCACCTTGATCTTTACCACTGTGAGGTAAACCACCCACGCTGCACACAGAGGGTCCCAAACACAGCTCAACAAAAGGTCAAATGATTTTCACATCACTAAAAACACAGCAGGAATGAAGGCATTTAGTTTTTGGTCATAAAGATGGAATTAGCCTGGCCACCAACTAGCATACCGAAAAATCAATATTTTGATCAGCACTGGGAACTAAATASTTGGTAAAAAAGAGTAACAACACATACTGAAATGTGACATTATCATGTGCGATTTGGATGTGTCTTTTTGCCCCTCAGCAAAAAGGCAGGTGCTCACTGATCAGAGAATGGGGTGTTAAGCAGAACCTGCAGTCAAACACTGACCTCTCTATCTGCACTGCATATTTCTATTTCTAGACTCTAAGTACACCAGCAAATGAGCAGACAAATTACAGAGCACAAATATGATGGAGAAAATGAATTCCCAGTAACCAAGCAACATTTCTCACTGGTTTCAAGTGTGGAAATACCACCAAACAAAGGTTGGTAGAAACAACTTTGGGACAGATCACAAGTAAAAGCATTACGAAACATTTATGAACCGTCACTTTAAAATTACATTTGTTATAAAATCCTTCCCAGTTCCTACAGATCTGATGTGTGTAGGTAACACATCTGAAACACATTCAAGATGCTCTCTATACCCCGGCTATCCCTGATAGATTAATCTATTTCAACACTACCATCTTTCAAATTGAAACATTACCAATATCACATATTACATAGTAGAGTTCTGAGCCGTGATAGAAAATCCACCTCTCAAAGTTTTTAAACTTTAGCTCTGACAAATAATTATCCCAGGAACTCACCTTAAATTGTCAACACACAATATAGCATGCACTACCATGTGCTTACAAGTAACAAATGTCATTTTGGCAAAATAATGTATGAATAATGGATAATCTTCAATTTRAGCATGCAGAGATTTTTTTATCCTAATTTCAAGCAACAAAACAAAACCAAGAAACCCACATCACTTATTCCCCCAAAGAAGYTGCCCTTCTGGGAGCAGTCATTGACCCAGCAGGACACCACCATAATGCAAGTATTTTTCCATAACCTTAGAAAAAATTACCTCTGCGTCCTCTCCAAAGAACCGGTATTTGTATCCACATTCCACACACAGAACAGCATCTTTATACTTTTTCTTCATTTCTATGAACTGGAGTTCTAGTGGAGTGTAAATGGTTTTGGTTCTTCTGTTACGATTTGTATCTGAAGCACACTGAGTATTTTCATGGGACTTGAGAGATGCAGAAAACTGACTCAGATTACATTGTAATGCCTCCTGTAAATAAAAGGTGAAAAATATAATTAGGAATCATGAAACAAATCAATTGCCCCCCACCCTTGGCTTACACAGACCACAGAGCTAAAGACTGCTCTTGCATTGAAGAGCCCCCAAAGCTGCAGCCCAACTACTAAAATAGAATTTACAGCATACAGTATATTTCAAATTAAAGGAATTAAAAAGTCATGAAAGTTGAAGTTGTTTAGTCCTCAGACAGATCAGGTGAAATCAGAACCCTGCTAGCAGGGTACTCAAAGCACAGACCAAGACAATGCAGGCTGCAAAGGCTGGGCAGTCACAACTAGCCATACATTGAAATAAGGATGAATTACTGCTTCAGTGTACAGGTGAGAAACTCAGGCATGGAGAGATTAATGATGTCCCAAAAATCCACAGCAAATCAGGAAATAAACCAATTTGAATCTCAGTTCCCCGTCTCAGCCACCAAAACCGTACTCCTTCTCCAATCTGCACTTCCTATATAAGTTCAGCACGTCTCCCAGAATAATTYAATTTAATAATTAATCACAGAAAATCTATACCACAGTTTCTGAAACCTTAAATGTGAAAGGCTTTGAGACCACTCTGTCTGCAGTTTATCATTCACAATGACATTATGTAGCCTATTCTTGCCAAGCACTTCAGCTCTACAACTCAGTGTTGTTCTGTATCATCAGTAAAGTAATGAGTTCAGAAGTGCAGAGAAAAATGCTGAAAAGGTGTATTTCACCKACAGCCAAGTTCCTCCTCACCTATATTTCACCAACAAGTACCGATAATATTAAAAAAAATACAAAGCAACACCCTCCAAAAATTTTTTACACATTACTATTCAAAACACAATTGATCAGGTCATTACATAAATTCTGTATCTGCAAACAAATCCATTAAATTTCCATTTCTATCAAGCGTCCCATTCAGATCACAAGAAACAAAGTGAACTGACTGTTTAACAGCAACAGTAAAAACAGGAAAAACACAGAGACAGTTTAAATCATATACTTTGGGTCATGGGAATGTACAAAAAGTGAGGTCAGAGAACAGCTGGGGAAAAAGAACACGTAGCTCTAARTGCAAAATCCCCACATCTGCACACCATCAAGCAAGAGAACACAGCCCAGCACAAATAAAGCTGAGCACTGTGCCCAGAACTCAGGAGCTCAGATGTCTCTGCTGCAAAATCCTCAGCCCAGGGACTTGGYGCTCTTCAACCCAAGGTCTGTGCCAGCCAAGCAGGACGACCTTGGCTCATTTTACAGGAAACTGTTGTGACAAAGCATGTGAAATAAGGGCATGAAAGAAGGCAAAAAGGAGTRAAAACAGACACAAAAGCTGAATTGCTGAGATGGTTGTAAGTCAGCAGCTGAAGGAAGGTTACAAAACAAAAAGCAAGACACCAACACCTAAAAGGAGCCATTCCAAGGGAGGCAAGCCAGCTCTAGAATCAGTTTTGTGTTCTCCAGCTGAGCACTCCTTCATCATCTCAATCCCTCAACACARCAGAAAGTTCTTGCCATAAGCTGTCCACTTCAGCAGCAGGATCCCACACTCACACAAAACCAGACAGGTCACAGCCTTGATGCAGGGAAGGTTAAAATCACCTGTACAGCCTTTTGTACAACCTCCTTCCCTCAAATTCCAGATGCAGAACTCCAGCAAAGAGCAGCTGACACAGTCAACCATTGGATGCCTTCCAGGACCTGAATATATCAAACTGAGCAGGCTGACCCCCAAAACCACCAATTAACTGAAGTTAATTAGCCCCCTAATTAAATGGGAAACACAGTACTATTATTCCACCCAAGTGTCTTGACTTGATCCATACACATCATAATAATTTTTCATGCCAGTTACCCCATCTTGTGCCAGTGAAAAAGCAATGATACCTTTACTAGCTGGATTTACCAGCAACTGGATTAAGCTGCATCTCAGTGACAATCCTAAGCACTATTTTTGCAAAGAAAGCCTGTTAGAAACTTGGTGACCCCCATCAAAACTGGTGGAAGAGAAAGCAAGTGAAGTGAAGTGAACACTGAACACGTGTTATTAGGGCAGCACAGATTCACTCAGAGCACAAGACACAGTGCCAGGGTTTTTGCTCTCTCATGATGCTGCTGTTCAGTGGTACTGCTGGAGAGCTAGGGCAGGCATCCTGCTCACCCTGCAGAGAGTGCAGGAGCTGCTCTGGGGTTCTGATGCACCTYTTTGTGTCACAGCAACACAAAAGTGCCAAAGTTCCCTGGTTTAACCCATAACAAGCAATTACACACACCACAGGACCAAAGCTCTGCGTACCTTCTGTGTGACCTTCGGGCCAGTGTCMCCAGATGGAAGAGGATTTTCCAATTGTGAGCTGCTTCCAGTAATAYTGGGACATTTCTCCAGAGATTCTTTCTGCTGAAAGCCATCCTTCTGGACTCTGGTACATTGCTGGTTTGAATCACTGCAGAACTCTCTCAGTCTGTCCAGAGTTTGCAAACAGATACGGGGCTTTTCACGCTTCTGAGGTTCTACTTCAGTGAAAATAGACAACAAAAACATATTAACAATTTATTTTCTAAAAGAGAATGTCTATCAGAATAACATCAGTAAGCACAACCATTTTGCTCCATCTTTCTTTCCCCTACATTCCCTCTCCTCTCCCACTGAAGCCTTTCTGCCATGCACATAAACAGCTTGGTTAATCTCCCTGGAAAAACCAATATTCCTCACTTGTGTGCTTCTTCCCATGGGGGAAGAAATGCATCACTGTTTTTGGACTGACCAGTGCACAGCCACGAAATCAGTCAAGAATACTGGCAATTAAGCAGATGTTTTCAGTACATTTTTTTAAGCTGACAGTGTTTCTTGAGGGTGTCCTAGTGATACTTCAAACCATTACACCAACAAATTTAAGAGTTGCCACTTTGAAAATTAAGAGGTTAATTRTTTTTACTGAAATGTAATGATCTTTTTATTCACTGACCTGTTTTCATAGTAACCTTAACTTTTTAAATCTCTATTCAAAGGTGGAATTCTGGCCTTTCTGAGGCAACAGGGCAGCTGATGCTCCACAGCAGGAGCCCTGCACTGGAACTATTGACACTGAGGAAGCCTTCAGGCACAGCAGCCACAAATTGGGCTCCACAGAGCTGTCAGTGTCAGTCATGCTTCAGAACAGGTCTRAGACTCCTCAACCAACACAGCAAGGAAAATGGCAGCATCTCTGCCTGGACCTCTGGACCTTACTGACTTAGAAACCTGGTAAAGCTCAGTCTGACGAAGAGCACTTTGCAAAATAATTTAAGCAATGTTCATATGCCAGCTTCTGAGCCACAGAAAGGTGCTCACCATGGCTCTGCAAAGRCCTATCTTCCACCCAAGGGATGCTCCTCAAAGCAGCTGCCAAAACACTTTTTCACWTTTAACAATGGAAAATGTATTTACTGGTTGTCAATACCTGAAGGTTTGTTTACAATCAACCCACTTTTATCCTCAYTTTTAGTCTTCAGTGGGTTACAGAACTCTTCTAGAGTAATTTGTCGTGCCTTGGTCTTCTTCTCACATGGCTCTTCACTTTCGGTAGATGTGCTYCTTTTGATGCCAAACTCAGAAGCCTGAAACAGAAATTAAACTGAGTTCAATTACCTTTTCTCTCTGCTATCCTCTGAAAGAAAATAATGCAACCAACATTTTCACAAGCAGTTCATGCAAAATAATCCAACAATCCTATCCCATCCCTGGAAGTGTTCAAGGCCAAGCTAGAGGGGTTTGGACCAACCTGCTCCTTAGCTGTCTTTTGAAACATGCACTCTGAACACTCTGTAAACAGAAAATTCATCAACTTATGCTGTTCCATCATTGATCTCTTATAAAAAGCTTGACTAAATATGAAGAAGAAACTTACAACTCCAATAAAACATAAACAATTGGCAGAGAAGTATGCTATTCCAGAAGCTTGCTTCCACATTTCATAAGGCAACTCAAATGGTTCAGCTGGGGAATTTCAATTTCCTTAGAACTAAACAGGAACTCCATCCTCACTAAGCCCAAAATCTCTATATAAGCAGAGCCCACATGAGTAGCAGTTTCCAAGTCCACTGTTAATACCAACAAATTAATACTAATTAGGAAGCTTTTTCTACAGGGGCAGAAAGCTGTAATCACACCTTTCAAAATATATTTGGATCAAAGGTAATCAAAATAGCTGACTTGAGACACAGGTAGAAAAAGCAAAGGGCTGGAAAAAAGAAAGGGCTGGAAACAGTAACTACAGGGAGACTGGAAAATATAAATTAAATCCAGGTGCTGTACACAGCTGCTTTTCCCTGACTAATCCCACTGATCAGGTCTCATTTCTTGTTGGTCAGCCTTCGAAGTACATAAAGATCAAACACCAAAGAACATTCCTGACTTAAAATAATCTCAACATATTCCACATTTTGCAAAACTATGAGGCACAACACRTGCCAGGGGTCCAACGCTGGAGTGAGGCCCCAGTGACATGGACCCAACTCACCAAAGCTACCCCTGGCTCCAGCTCCTACAAAACAGACACATCCTTGATGACAGAATCCCAGGATTGATCCCAGACTGATTTAAAATAGGGATGTGGACAGAACCCTGTCTGTCACCATCTCAATTATCTCTTATATAATTGGAAATGATGTTTCATAAGCTGATGGTGATTTCCATTCAGCTGTCAATCTGTGCTCCCAGAATACCCCTTTGCCAATACCAGGGCAAACCTGATTCCTACTTCAACAATAATCTTTAGAACAGAATCCCAGGATATTTGGGGTTGGAAGGGATCTCTGCAGACCATCCAGGCCAATCCCTTGTCACTGCAGGGTCAGTGACACAAGAACGTGTCCAGGTGGGGTTGGGATTTCTCCAGAGAGGAGACTCCACACCCTCCCTGGGCAGCTGCTCCAGGGCTCTGCACCCTCGCTGTAAAGGTGGAAACTCGTGGTTTATTTTATGGCCATTGCTCCTCATCCTGTCCCTGGCCCCACAAACACAGTCTGGCCCATTCTCTGTCCCCTGTGAGGTGTTTGTATGGATTGATGGGATCCCTCACACCTTCCCTTCTCCAGGCTGAGCAGGCCCAGCTCCCGCAGTCTCTGCTCAGCACAGAGATGCTCCAGACCCCAAATCCTCCCTGTGGCCTCCCCAAGACCCTGTGCAATAACTCCGTGTCTGTCCTGCCAGGCTGCTCCCGGGATGCCTGGTACCAGTGCCCGGTGTCACCGCGGCCTTGTGGCCGTGTCCCGCCGGTTGTGCCCCGCACAGGGGACACCGGGACCCCGGAAAGCGACTGTGCCCTTCTCGCCCCGCTCCCAGCGCGCACCGTGTGGCGGGGCCCGCCTCTCTGGCCGCCGCTCGCCGCCGCTCCGAAGAACCTGCTGAGCACCGGCTGCCCCGCGGCCAGGCCGCCCCGCCGGCCCCTCGGCATGGCATCCCCCGCCACAGCACCGCCTCCCGCCGGATGCGCCCGCTCGGCCCGCCCCGGCCCGCCCCGGCGCGCAGAGCGGAGCGGCCATGGTACGCTCGCTCAACTCCATCGTGGCCGTGAGCCAGAACATGGGCATCGGCAAGGACGGGCGGCTGCCCTGGCCGCCCCTCAGGTATACCGCCGCTGCCGCCGGGCGGCCCGCCCGCACTACAGCTCCCAGCGCGCCCCGCGCGGCCCCTCCGCGCCCGCCTGTGGCCGCGCGGCGCGGGGCACGCTGGGAGCTGTAGTTCCTCGGGGGATGCGCTGTGAGGCGGGAAAGCGGCGSCGTGGCGGGAGCGGGGCTGTGGGGATGTCGGGGTGGCTTCCCYTCACGGCGTGGCGGCGGGGAACCGCTCATGGCGTGGGCTCTGGTTATCGCCCATGTAAGCACAGCCGGGGGACAAAGGTCCTGCCTCGGCCGTGGCACCGGCCCAGGTCCCGTCCAGCTGCACCTTCCCGGGATCCGCCAACTCTCCCTTTATATGTGGGGATTTCTGTTACAATTAGAGAAAATCGCAAAATGAAATAGAGAGAACTTATTCTTAGGGCAGGTTGTAACGCACTTGGTGCTTCCCCGGCAGGAACGAGTACAAGTATTTCCAGAGAATGACGAGCACGTCCCACGTGGAAGGTAATGCGGGCTGTGGGGCATCGGACACCCAAAAATCGGAATTTTGCTTTTCTTGCATTTCTTAGCCCTCTTCTGCACACAGCCTGTCCTCATAAACCTCCCCAGAATTTCAGCCCTTTGTAATMGTTTGGGTTAGATGAGGAAAGAAGATGAATCAGATACTTCAGCGGAGGTGGAGGTGATCTGTAGTAAAGCAATTCTGAAGTACTTCTTTCACCAAAAGAGTGTAAAAAACTTCACCTAAATTTTACCTAAAAAGTCTTAAAGTGGAACTCCAAGTTAGAAGTTGGTAGGTTTTCACAAGCTGCTTAATTAGCAGAGGTGGTTTATTCTTTTCAGGCTGCAGTAGTTTATCTAATTTGTTTGCTGTAGCYCAGCCCAGGCCCTTTGATCCATCCCTCTGACCCTTGTGACTATAAATTTGCTGAACTTTCTGAGTGCTGAGCCATGCATCAGAAAATCCAAGCCATGTGGATAGCATAGAGCAGAAATACTGTCGATGTTTGACAACGTGGTCACCTTTTCTTGATTTATTTGAGGGCGGGGGAATTGCTGCTGTTAAAACTCACTTTTTTGGTAAAGCTTCTGGTCAGCTGAATATGTTCCCTTGTTTTGGTTAGCTGACTTACTCCATTTTCTGGCTTCAAGATCTGTTCCATAATCCACAAGGAAATGTCTAATTTCATTTTGAAACAGTCCTAAGTGAAAGATTTTATTTATATCTTGGAGACCTGATCCAGCCCTTTGGAACCTTTGTAATTTATAATGACTTTGTAACCCTTTTGTATGTACAAAAAAAAGGACAGAACACAATTGACATTTATATGATAAGTCTTTTCGGATGTCTGCAAGTTGCATTTTACCTGGCACAGATTACCTGTGATCAAGGAAAAATATGTTTSAAATACAATTAAAAGGAAACATTTTGCTCCACCCTGCTTGCAGATCTTTTGCTTAACTGTGAGTTTGGCCACTGGGCAGGTAAGCTGCTTCATAACCAGACTGCTTAATGGATTATGCTGCCATAAATCTTCACACTATTGCCTCTGCTGACACTAATTTGGAAACGACGTGGAAAAACAAGACTACTATGGCATTATGTTTATTTCTCCATTTCCTCCTAAGGAAGAATATTCCTTTCCTTAGCAGCTTTGTATGTAAGAGGTAACCAGGTTGTGAATGGTTGGGTTTGATCAGATATTACATTTACAGGTGAATGTTAGGGTATGATTGAGCACCTGTAACACCTTCAGAGCTGGGGCCTGAGCCTGTGCTTTGGTTAAACTGAAGATGGGCTTGGAAAGGGATGTGAAGCTGTGAGTGTTGCTAAACAATKCAAATACATTCTCTCTTGTTCAGGTAAACAGAATGCTGTGATAATGGGTAAAAAAACGTGGTTCTCCATTCCTGAGAAGAACCGTCCTTTGAAAGACAGAATTAATATTGTGCTCAGCAGGGAGCTCAAGTGAGTATGATAAATACAGGCTCTGTAAAACAAATAAAAACCTGYACCAAAAYATGTCTGTAGCATTACAAAATACARTAGTTCCAAATGTAGCAATTKTTATATCTGATAGRAAGTGGTTCWGCTGTTGGTTCTGAGTGTTACAKCTACTTCACTCTTAATTTTTAAWTTTTTTWAATTCATTCACAAGGTAATTGGCATTATGCTTTGCATCATGAGTACTACTTCTRGCTCTACTCACAAACCATTTGACAATTTTCAGTAGTGTTTCTGACTCATGTATTTAACTGAATTTCTCTAATTCCTGCATAGATTGGTGGCTCTAAATCAGGCTTTTGAAGTTTATTTTTATTAGGATTTGTGGATGAACTGTCYTTTTTCAGAGCTCTCTTCTTGAATGCATTGGCCACAGTCACCCAAATACTCTTAAATAAACATGGGCACTGGCAGTGATTTATTGCTTTGCAGGATGTTGATGTATTTGCAGGTGATTCTGGAGGTGGGCAGGGTATTTTGGTTTTTTGACYAGTTTTATTGAATAAAACATTAATATTCTGGAATTCAAGCAAAAATCTACATTTAATTTCTATATTATCAGAATTTAATTAATTTATAGATTATATATTTCTGGTCTAGATATGTGAATTTCTCAGTTATGCTTTTTCAAAAACATGTTATGAAATTTCAGGTTTGTAATTTRTAATGACTCCTATTTTTGGCTTGACCCTAAATTACAGTTAGGATGTGATCTATTAAACAATCCTGCAGTCAGATGAGGCTTCTAACACAATTTGGCAATAGCAGGCACTTCAAAATAATTAACTAATAGGAAGCTTTTGGTTCTTTGTTAATTCAGCAAAGCACATGATGTGTCTAGCTTTTATTGATGATCATGATGAATAGTCCTTTATTTCTTTAGTAATAAAACTTTGCTTTTTCTAGGGAAGCCCCGAAAGGAGCACATTATCTTTCCAAAAGTCTGGATGACGCTTTGGCTCTTTTGGATTCACCAGARTTACAAAGTAAAGTAGACATGGTTTGGATCGTGGGAGGCTCTGCAGTGTACAAGGTACATTTAGCCTACTCCTAAATTCCTCATTTTCTGCGATGGGATGAGGATGAAGTTTTTATTACTGCTGCTTTAGGAAGTGCTTTCCCTTTACACAACCTGCAAACTGCAGTGATTGCAACAGAACAAGTCTCAGCTCTCAGGTTCAGAATACCTGTCCAGAAACTGAACATTGCTCTTGCAATGGGCCAGTGTCACACAGATGTTATGCTTTTGAAAGCTTTTCTTAAGTATCTAAATTGCTAGGTTTTTCAGACAAAGCTCATATTGTCGTGTTTATTTTACTGAGCCCATATTATTATGTTTATTTTACTGAGATTGCTGACTGACCCTGCTAAGGATGTGAAAAGAAAAAAAAAAAGGAAAAGTGCTCCAGCATTTTTAGCCAGAGTATGACATTTTATAAATGTAAATGGGCTAGCAAATAGGATTTAGAGAGAGCTGACAGGTAGGTCATGGTATCAGCAATAACAGGAGATAATCATACAACAGAATGTTGCACTCACTCTGCTTTCCCATCCAGCAATATTCCTACTGCTCCCACTCCCTAGGTCAAGAATTGTAAAGCAAAATCTTTTTAATAGTGAAGGAAACGGTGCTGCTGTCCTTTAGTCATTACAAGTATGCTGGGAGATACACTCCACTTGCTTGCTGTTTGGCACTTGAACATTAGATGTATGATGACAGTGCCATCATGTACTTGGTGGAAAATTGGGGCTGATACTCTGCCTTGTGTATGGGGTAGGAAAATTGTCTGGTATTTCATGCCTTTGCAGTTTGTACCTTTCGTGAACCTCTTCTCTGAGGAAATACATCTTTTACAGCATAAACAGTGAAGTAGTTACAGATTGCTAGGATTGTAAGAAAAATGAGGAGCATATACAAATAGCACTCTTGCTCTTCTACCCTTTTGTTTTGTTTTCTAATCACTTCAGTCTGTGATGAAGTTCACCATATATTCAATGTGCAAATGCATTCAATCTTCTATCAGATATTATTCTGCAGAAGCAGTGTCCCTGTCTCACAGCCATSACAGTGTTCCATGCAGAGGCTTTCTGAGAGGGCTTCTCCTCRCAGAGGTGCTCAGCAGGAGCTGGAGCCTGGCTGTGGCTGCTGCTGCAGCTCTGCAGCTGTGAGCAGGAGCATTGCCCCTTCCCTGCCACAGCCAGGGGCTCAGCTGTAAAGAGTTACTGCCTCTGCTACTTCTTCCAAGAGCACTTGTCTTGGAGGCTTCTATTTTAATTATTTTTCCAGCATCTATCTGATATTTGGGAGAAAACAATGCCTTTTTGTTTGACTATTTCTCACCAGTACTCAGACTATAAATTGGCAGTTTTGATCAAGGGTAATTCACAATGTGCTGTTTGTGCTGATCCAGTGCCAGAGGATGTGTCTTAAAGAATTAGGAGACCTGGTTATCCTTAACATGGAAAAGCATTGAGAGAGCTGGGAAGGTGCGGTCTGGAGAACAGAAGGCTCCAGGGAGATATSAGAACCATTTCCAGTGCATAAAGGGGCTCCAGGAGAGCTGGAGAAGGATTTTGGAGAAGGRRCCMAGTGACAGGGMAAGAGRGAATGGCTTGCCCAGGGTTAGRTGGGATATTGGGAAGGAACTCTTGGCTGTGAGGAGGCTCTGGCTGCCCCTGGATCCCTGGCAGTGCCCAAAACCAGGCTGGATACTGGGGCTGGGAGCAGCCTACAGTAGTGGTAAATGACCCTAGCCATGGCAGGGGATTGGAACAAGATGAGCTTTAGGGTTCTGTCCAACCCAMACCCTTCAGTGGTTCTAAAATTTCAGCTGTTTCTCCTCTGTCAAGCATCTATTCAGGACATTTCAAAGGAAAGTTTAATTCATTAGAAAGAAATCTGACAGTTTTATAGATTCCTGCACTCACACTAGCTTTGTGATGTTAACTGAAAGGTTTGATGGGAACCATACACCTCTACCAAAACTGCAGGTGATATTTTTAGTGCCTGTATTAAAGATGCACAAAGGATTTTACAGGATTATTTCCATCATACCAGGTACAAATGTGTGGGAAGTAAAATAGCAATTGGAAATTGAAGGGAATAACTTTATTCAGGAGGTGTAGGTATTTGGTTTTAAAGCATTATTTTGATCTCACTATTTTGTGCTACCCAATGGTTGGAACTGATTTTTTTTATTAGTAGAGGCCTGTGCTGTTYTATAGAAAGGATTACCCCTTTTTGGTTATTCAAGTTATTAAAGGACAGAAAATCAAGTCTGTTTATACTTTCCAGTGTCAAATAGGAAGGATGTTCACCTGAGAGCTTCTTGCTGCCCTTTTAGATCTAGGCTAGCACTTGCAGGTGACAGAGTTGCAGGTTCATCCCCAAGAAATGTTGTTCGTGGATATCAAACCAGTTCCCAGGTACAACTCAAACATKRTGAGTGGAGAMAATTRGAACATTCATTAACARTTTGGACTCAATGATCTTGGAAGTCTTTTCCAGCMTTAGTGATTCTACAATTCTGTGATTTCAAACCCCTGTTTCTGATCTGAGTTCAGACACTGCTGCGCCCTGTGTGGAGGTATTGTCTCTTAAAATGAGAGGTTYGGGTCTTGGTGCTAACTCTGAAAAAGTGTGCTTTCTGGACATCCTAGAGGGGTCAGAGACTCACAGAGTGGTTTAGGTTGGAAAGAACTTYAAGGCTCATCTCACTGCAAATYGGCAGGGRTACCTTCCCCTAGATCAGGTTACTCTGAGTCTTCTCCTAATAAATTGTATCAATCTCTTTTAACTTTTACATTTAAACTGTGGTTTAGGCTGGTAAAAAGCAACATTGAGATTTTACTAAGAATAGGAACTGTAAGTGTGTCATGTCCTTAAATATTAAATAGGGTGTTGTTAAGAAAAGCAAACAAAACCAACAAAACCACASRCATACATACAAAGACRCAAAAAATGCAATAGACTCAGGAGTCAGGTTCCTTGTGTGCATGTTATGGTTTTATGATGCGTGGAGTGAGTATGTCAGCATTCTACCAGCTCAGCAGTGTGCATCCTCTAATTTCTCCTCAGTCTCAAAAAAGTGAAACCAATGGAGTGGTCTGGACAGGGCAAGACTGAATTGAGTATCAGTGAGGAACTGTTTATTCCTCGTGGAAATGACAGCCCTGTGTAATAAAGCTCCTTTGCCATCCCCGCATGTCCTCAGCAGGGTCAGGATGGCAGGCARTGGCTGATTTAACCACGTACTTAAATCCCAAAGCAGGGGAAAGTTGCACTGAGCAGAACAGAGCAGGTGAAATGGAAAAGCATGTTTGTTCTTGCCTCTTGCATGCTCACTGCCAGGCACTGGGCACTCCCAACTGCTGAGGAGGAACATGTGGCCTGAAACCAACCTGAGCCAGTTGCTCTTCCCCAAGTTCTCCGTTTGTTCATGGCCCCCAGAACTGGTCYAGCAAAGTGAAGAAGCATTTGCCTGTTTTTTATGAATGTGGGGACAGTGACACAGCTGGTTGGTTTACTCACCTAATGAAACCATTTATCTACAGCAGAGGTCACCATCTGGTCCTCTTTGGGTTAAATTCAACTTTTTTTGCAACACCTGTGGTCAGTCCTTCCCTCTGCTCTTCCCTGGTCTGTTGTAGGGGTAGAGGGTTCTTGATCAATTCCCACAGAGTTCAGTAAGAAGTTGATTTAYTCTTCTACTACAAAGCAGAAGGATCTGTTTACAGAACACATTTTTATTTGTGAAGCAGATTATTCTGTGTCTTTTCTAATCTCCCTGTCATTACTTAAATGAAGAAAAATACTGATTTTTGTGTATAAACTGAATGGACACCAGTTCACTGCTGTTGGATGCTTGTGTGTTGTGACTTAGCCCTTTCATTTTTAACTGCTCTCTAGTAGAGCAGCTTTTCAACAAATTAACCTCTCAGCAGTGGTAACAATTAATTTTATTGGATTCCATTTGTTATTGCTTGGTTCCTGTGCTTGTTGAAGTAGTACCTAATAGCCTGCTGCATGGTGAGTCACCTTCCACAAAGAGCATTGCTCGTAGCCAGTTACAGGGAAAGGGAGGAATAGCTGCAAGCTTTTCGAAMATGTGTTGTAACCAGGCCCAGTGTAGCTTTTCACTGCTTTTTTTTAATGCCCACAAATCCTGAAGGAGTTGCCTTTTTTYGATCTCAAGACACAATGTCTGTTCTTAACTCCTGAATTTGTTAGTGAAGAGCTCGCCTGACAAGTGTTGTCTTAAACATTTTCATCCAGGGAGCTGGGAAACATCATAAAAGCTTTCAGCACAGGTTATCATTTTGCCACAATCCAGAGATCCAGCTTTGAGGTTAAACTAATGGTTAATTTGAGCTCTGGAATTGCAACTAATGYAGACTAAAAATACAGTATAAATTCCTAGCAGTGACATGAATTAAACATCAGAACAAATTACCTTGTGATGTGGACATCTGACACCATGTAAACCTTCCTGTTTCTCAGAGAGRTGTGATTCAGAAACTGCTTGTTGTGACAGGGCCTGCTGTTCCTTTCTTCTCACAGGGCCATTCAGATTTTGTTCTTAAGTTCTGTCAGATACCCCAGGGTCTGAGAATAGGTATTKCTGCCACTTACCGGGTGGAACTGACACAGGGCGAAATTATCCCTTCAGAAAGTGCTCTTCAGCAGAGTCTAAAAGAGGAGTTACAGAGTGTAATTTTCACGGCTTTGCTAAAAGCCTGTGATACATAAAATTGTGCCTGAGTTTGTGTTGTTTCTAAAGGCAGCAATGGAGAAACCAATTCATCACCGACTGTTTGTGACAAGAGTCTTGAAGGAATTTGAAAGTGACACGTTTTTTCCAGAAATTGACTATAAAGTCTTCAAGCTTCTCACCGAGTAAGTACCAAAATGCATACCGGGMTAGTCTTCAGAATAACCTAATTTGAACATGTAAGAGTTTTATTGAGGTTGTGTTGGTTTGAGTTAGAGGTGAATTTTTCCCCAGAAGCATGTTTTAMTTGCAACCTGGAATGGCACCATACTGTGCACAGAGGTTCTTGGAGCTTGCTGWGTTCTTCAACTTTCCTGTAATCTTTACATTAAAGAATTGTCTATGATGTCAGTTTGCTCTAAAAGTAGCTTTTCTTATTGTTTCTGGGTTTAGAATTACTCAAATATTTACTAAGCTTTGTAACTCTCAGTATGTTTTTGGTCAATGGTATTTAGCCTCTGAATGTGTGGTAAATTGCCAAAGACAAATTAAATGAGTTTGTCTATGGAAGGTTGAGCTTTATGGATTTTTAAGGTTATTCCTTTTTTCTTGAGAAAATTACTTCTTCATAACAAATGTAGTAGGAAAAAGTGTACAAAAACTTACAGTTTCTGCCATTCACTTGGTTTCTTCTATAATATCCTTGTCATACTCCAGTCATACTCCAGTCATGCTTTTATGTCCTCTCCGACAAGATTACATCCAACAGGCACTAAGGAGGCAGCAAAATTCAGACACCTGCCTCAAGTACCAGGAAGGGCCAGAGCTGTTCCTCTTCCTGCAGCTTCTTTTTTGGCTCCCAGCTGGTTACAGACCAGCAGCGGAAGAAACAGAAAATATGAGGAGTCAAACTCTCTGCAGGGGGCACGGGAATGCATTAGCACAGCTCTGGGGAACGGTAGGCAGGGGCAGGGAAGAGGAATGTGGGATAGATAAGGTGGGTGGTGATGATGAGTCACATTCTCCAATTTCAATATATTCTGAACAACACAGTGCTCGTTTGAGTGTCCAGAGATCTGACCCAAAGCTCCTCCTCTCCCTCTTGGCGGTGCCTCGGGTATACGTTGGTTTTGGCCCATGTACTGAAATGAACGTTTGGCATTAGAACATGATTTTGTGAAATAGCAGGTAATTTCCTTGCTAAAGTGGAAGCCTGACGATGCCAAACCTTACCAAATAAATTTAAAATGTATCTCTCCCTCAAACTCTGTATTACTCATACAAAACCCTTGTTATTTCAAGAGGAAGGGAGATGAAAAGATTTTTGAAAGTATAAATAAAAAGTGCTTTGGAAAACCTGGAATATAGAGGAACTCTTTTTATGGAAGCAGTCAGTTTCTTGAGTAATCTCTTGGAGACTTGTAGGAWACCTCATTCTTAGCATTTACTCTAAACTGACTTAGGAAAAGCAAGGCAAGAAAACAAGCCAAAATGTTCCATTCCATATCTCTTCTTTGCTTCCTTGGCAGATACTTTACATATTATGTTGGAGGCTTTAATAAAAATGTTGGGTATCTTCCTACTAAGCGAAAAAATGGGAGGAGGGGGTGTTTTGATATTTTGATGCGTTCTTGATGTAAAAGGTGTGCACATAAGTTGTGGATAGTAGTTAATATGATTCCTAAAAATAGTTTACCTGTTCTAAAGACAGTATTTTCATTTCCTTTTATGAACAACTTGCTTTCCTAGTTGATTGGATAAATTACAGGTGAATCATAATTACATTCTTACCTACTTGTTGGCTTCTGCTTTTTCTTCTCTCCCTAGGTACCCAGGTGTCCCTGCYGGTATCCAAGAAGAGAATGGGATCCAGTACAAATTTGAAGTGTATGAAAAAGCTGTCGTGGCACCATAAGTGAGGCATTCTGTACTTCSCTGTAAGGGCAGGCATTTTAAATCACCTAGTCTTACTGCGTGTTAAGATATATTAAATTTTTGAAGAAACTCATGTCTGATAATAAAATACCTCAGTAGTGAATGGTTCCCAAACCCACACCCCACAGCCCCAAGGTACACTCTGCAGTGGGAAGGGGRTCTGCAGTGTGAAGGAGGTAGATCTGAGCAAATCCTCAACAAAGGTTGCATGAGATCTCACATTGACCTTACAGCCCATGGCAGCATCCCAGACAATTCTATGGGTAATGAAAGGCGTTAGAATGTGTCAGAGTTTTTCTACTGAAACCAAGGGTTTTARTATCTCCTTGTCCAAAACATCCAGCAATGGGAAAGCATCAGTCTTCCCCAGTTTCCCATCAGTCTTCCCCAGTTTTGACTGTCATGTTGTATACATTTATAACAGCCTTTAAAATGTAGTGGTGTAGAAGGAAGGTTAGGCCCACTAGGAGAAGGAGGGTCTGGAAGTCTCACGAGGCAGGTGAGGAATGCCCTGACCCTTTCTGTCCCTCCAGGAAGTGAGKGTAGCAGGATCACCAGTGCTGCTACACCTGCTCAGGTGGGCTCCACACAGRCTCCCACAGGGTCACAGCCTCCTTCATGCGTCTCCTGCTCGGGATTGTGCTCCCCGTGGGCTGCGGGGGAATCTGCGCTGCAGCATCCTGAGCACCCACTCCCCTCCTGCCACATCTGGGAGCTGCAGGGCTCTTCTCCTCTCCCTTCTTGCTCCTCTCAACACAGCTGTTGTTCCCCACAGATTTTTCCCCTCATTTTTAGCTCTGTTACCCAGAGGTGTCACTGCCCCTGATGGGCTCAGCCTTGTCCAGGGCAGGTCCCTCCTGGAGCCAGTGGTGTACAGGGGACACTTCCAGCAGCTCTCACAGAAACCACTCTTGCAGAGCCCCTGCTCCCCAAACCTGGCCACACAAACCCAGCAAAATCTGGTAAAGAAACTTTAYTATTTCCCTGACTTCACTGCCATGTGAAGGCTTTGCTGCTCTTGTAAAAACCCTCTCTGTCAGTTTGACCACAGACAATTCACAGTGGAGGAAGATATACATTAAYTTCTTAAAATCTGTGTTCCTRTKTCCTTGCCAAGCACTATCAGTAAARGTGCAGTTCATCTGTCAGTRTGATTTTGAATGTGCCAAATAGGGATTAGAAACAGTGGAGTAGTCCTGTTTCATCTTTATTAAATATAGTTAAATATAAAAATATCAAATATATTGAATAAACTAGTAAATAATTTGCATTGATGTTTCCTTAGAATATTAGCTGTGAGCACCCCTTGAATTTGCCATGGCTCTTTACAGCACGTAGCTGATAAAACCCACCATTTTTGCAGCATCTGCTCTGGGTTGTCTCAGTTTTCTGTGTTTCCTTTAAAACTGTAAGCACTTCCCGGTATTGATCTTCTTGTTCCATGTGCACCGATGCTACATCGATTGATAAAAACAAGTTTATGCTTACATAATGCAGCAAGAAGTCTCCAGAGTTTTAAATTGACAGCATATTGTTGGATGGGAGGAAAGAGACTGTTACCAGGGAGATGTCATGTGGTTTGTTTTTTTAAAAACACAAGTCACAGTGACCCTGGCAAGAGAATAACCTCCCAAAAGTGTTTAAAACATACCTGTTATAGGTCAGTGTTGAAAGCTCTGACACTTTGCAAAGTACTGTGTTTAGGACAACTGACATTTATTAAAAATGGGAGAAAAGACTTTATGCAATGTTGGCTGAGGCCAACATACATTAGAAAATTTCTGCCTGAGCACAGCGATATGGTTCACTGAGGCCAGGATGTTTTGTAGAACCATTTCAGTTTGAAAGAACTTTTAACTTGGATGGAAAAAACAACCCTGCTGAGAACATAAGTGGTTACTCTTGATTCTTTGTGGACTCACTTAGTCCTCTCCAGATTTAACTATGTCCTTTGTCAGATACAACAACAAATTAAGTTAATTTACGTTTCGTGGAAATGTGAACTTCTGAGTCTCCTACTTGAAACTCTTCAGAACACAGTGATGTTCCTTCAGTGTGGCTCTCTGCCACAAAGATGCGCTTTTGTTTGGTTTGTTTTTAGTAGAAGCCTTTTGGACAGCACCTTTTGTACCGCAGGTTTTCAATATACAGAGCCCTGTTGAGAGCTTGCAAGATGCATTTGCAGTGAAGCTGAACCCAAAATCATGCTCACCCCAATAACAGACGTTCCAAGCACCACTCTGATGCTGAARGCTTGCTGTTTGAGGATGGGTGGGCAGAAGGGTGTGTCTCTGTGTGCTCAGCAAGCACATGCAGACTGTTTACTGTGGGATGTATTGTGACGATGGTTACCTGGCACTTGTTTAGGTAAAAAATAAATCTATACTACGGCTTGAAGAAAAAAAAAAATCCTATGTTCCAAATACAACTTCCCCGTGTTTTGTTTATTCCTGTACCTCATTGATGAATGATTCCTTGAAAAGCCATAGGTTCTCATTATGTCCAGTACAGGGGAAAATGTCATGTTTTTACCCAGTTCCATGCAGCTAAGTGCAATGAATAGCATCACGAGTGACCGTGTAATTACCAATCACCAAGAAAAGTCTATACAGGTATAATTTAATCCCCTTCATTCATGCTCTCCTGGGAACAAACTGTTCCAAACATATTAAAATTTTAGTTTTCGAGGGTAATACTAGTTTCAACAAGATAGCTTAAACCAGAGGGTCTGCCTAAAAGGTGAAAAACAAACATACATGTTTTTGTTGCTTGTCTATTACTCATTATCTTTTATCTGACAGTGGACAGCGATTTCCATTTGGCAAGTAGAGAGCCGATGTTTTCAGTAGTGTTACAGCCACAGTGTATTCAAGGTCAGAGCTGGGAACATTCCAACAACAAATCTCTATCGTGGACAGCAATCCATGGAAAAGAAAGGTACGGTCTGAAAAATAAGTTAGCTAATTTAGCAAATAAAATACAATTAGTATTTATACAGAAAAGCAGGGGAAAAACAGGAAGGGGAAAATGGCAACGATTATCTTATTCAGGTTATCTAAGGAGAGCACTGGTAGCACTTGACATGAGATCTGAATGGAGAACAGTCATGTTGTCTTCATCAGAAAACAGCTAATTTGCTGAGGATCTAAACCAAAACTTACCCTGAGCAGTTAAAAACTTAGCACTAACAGAAGAAGGCACTAGCAGGCAGAGGCAGCAGCTGACTCGGAGAGGGGAGAAGCTGAGGCAAGGATTATTCCTTAATCAGGACAGAAAATTAGGTGAGTAGAGGTAACAGATGAGGTGACAAAGCTTGGATAAGTACAAAACTGGGAGCTGCCTCTCTTGATATTCAGGTGTGCATTAACTGTCTCTGCTTGCCCTGGAGGGTTGTAGGAATGAAGGCAACCAAATTTGGATAGGCTGGCTGAAAAATCTGAAGAGCTGTGTCCTGAAACAGAAGAGTGGAAGTGGAGAAAGAGAGCTGAGAAGAGGAAATWGATATTTCTTAGAAGGATATATGCTTTCTCGTGTTAGTTTGCCCTGTAGCTATAATTACTAACAATCACTTCCAGAGTCCTGTGGGGTTTAGCACGTGTAAGAAGTTGTGACAAAGAATGTCATTAGTGGGGGATTTTCAGGATATGAGCTGTGTCTGCCTATGTCAGCTCTACAGAAATCCTCAGCTAGGATTGCTATCCTGAGAGTCCCATCCCAGAGCATCCAGTGGCTCAGGGGCTGTCGCTGTGCCCAGGCCAGTGCTCTCCTGCTTCCCTCAGTGGACAGCTTCATCTTCTGGGACTGAATGTGGGAAATGTGCTCTTTTTCCCTGTGTCTTGTTTTCAGCTGATCCTGGGTTATTCTATCCTCCGTTCTCTGCAGATCATTCTGTCTTCTTTCTGTAACATCAAAGCAAAATTCATACAGGAARCCTTTTGTTAGATTAATTGACATGGTTGGAAAAAGAATAGATGAGCTCTCAAGCAGAGTCTTATTCTGATCACATTTTCAGGACTTTTTTCAAATGACTTGGACAAGAGCTTACGTTGCAAMAGTTGCCAGTTCATCTCCAATTAAATTGGGTGGGTTAAAGTGGATTATCTTTTCTCGTACTTGTTTTGCACTTTTTATCATTTAATGGTTTGGCTACATCATTTGTATATCACCTTCAGTCCTTGAGCTGTGGACTTCTCTGTTCTGTTCATCTCCTCAGCTGTCCCTCTGGACTGAAAATTTACAGAAATTCAGAGAATTGTCCTGATCAACAAAAGTAGGTATTTGAAATAGATGTCTCTTAAGTGTATACTTACTTCTGATTAAGTGGTGGTGAAGTGTTTTTCTTGAAATTGGGCCATATATTTGCCCACATATGCGAAGCTGTAAGTATGAAAATAAACATTTTGTTAAGTGATGTCTACTGTGAAAAAAAAAAAAAAATATGAAGGAAGAAAAAGCAAGTGCAACCTGAGAATAAACAGAACCTGAGAGAACAGGAAATGGGTGATACACCAGTACCTATGGAGCCCTAAATCAATGTCTTTTCCTTCCCTGAGCAGTTCATCTTGACAAGTTTTAATACCAAGATGAGTCTTTTTTGATAAGCAAACCATTATTTAGAAGCCATAACATTGTTTATAAATTATGTAATTGATTTGAGTTGCAGAAAACAGAACATTGTAATGTACATCCTTCCTCCAAATGCAGTTTTTCACACAAAACCCTGCTGGTAACACTCATTAGTTTTGGACAGCTGTCCCAGTGCATAGATTACCAGCTCTGCACTGGAGATCCCTGCTTCACGTCAATAACTTAAAATGGACTGGGCCACTGAATTGCACTGAAGCTTGTTCAGTTGCACTAAGGAGCCCTTTAGAAGCTTTTAGCCTTTTTAGTTCTGTATAACTAGCTCATTGAACACATCCAAAAAAGCTCCTGAAAACGATTTCTTGTGAAATCAACTKGAAAAACAGTTTCATTTTCATAAGAAAGAACTTTTAATCACTATATGTCCTCTTGTTAGATTTTGCTCAAAAGCTAAAATTTAGATCTGTTCCCATCAGCMGTTCTAGGTGGAAAACCTAATTAATTAAACTTATTTAAGTTCAGAATTGTGTTTTTCTAATTAATTGTAAGTCCTTTTTTTTTTCTCCTGTCCTACTGTTTATCATGGTAGAAAGCAGCCCATTTCTGGAGTATTTTTGTCTGTATGGSTATTTCAGCCAGTCAAAAAAGATCTCTTCAATGCTAACTCTGAGTGTCTCTCAAGAAATTATGGTCATCTTCCAATGGAATGATGTAAATTCTGTTCCTTTTTGTTGCAGACCAGCTTCACATTTTTACAGCACAATTCACTATATTTTTTCCTAGCATGTAATTCAGATTCTTTTAGAAACTACTCCAGTCATGTAAGTGCAGCCAATATTGTGCTGTAATCTAAACAATTTATGAATATGTGTATGAAAAATAATCAGTTCTCTGGATATTCACAGACTCTGGGAATTGGCAAAAGAGAGTTATCTCATGAGCCTGCCAATTTACAGTGCCAAGGAAGGTAGCACTTGTGCTCAGAAGCATTGCAAAGGCTTGTGCCTGTGGAACAAGACATTTATTCCAATATATTCTCTAACACTGTA